CCCAAGTTCTTTCCTTTGCGTTGTGTAACCATTTGTGCTTTTGAGTTGAAGTGAAACAGACTGTCTTTGTAGTATCAAGCTATAAAAATGTTTTATTTTCATTTTCATAATCATAGGACAAATAGCTTTTCAGGAGCAAAACAAAATTCATCCATGTGATCCATGAACTTTGGCTTTTTCTTGAGGATGCTTATAGCGATTTTTTTTCCTTCCAAGTTTCTGTATCTTGAAGAGAGAGAAGTAAGGAAAGTCAGACTAGTGATTTTCACAGCTCTGGAAATTTGGCTTAACTTTAATAATTAACTATTGATTGAGAGTTTATTATACCCCAGATGCCACTAGGCACTTACATTATTACTTCCCTCACAAAGCCATTTAAAGTAATATTAAATCTCACTTCCCTGAAAAATACTTTGTGATAACCTTTTGTGCATCTTTTGTGAATATTATGTGATCATCTCTGCTGGGAGCTAGCTCTCCATTTCAGTTTATGGATTTCTAAAGAAATTTAGTCAGAACTAATGGGGAGAACAGAGATAACCAGGACTAATGAGAGATTCTAGATATTTGAAAATAACCGAAACACTAACCAATAAAAACAAAAGCAGACTCACCACAGGGACATAAATGATAGTACTAAAAGGAACTCATAGGAATTCAAGTATATTAAAACTTAGTGGGGCGCCTGGGTGGCTCAATGGGTTGGCTCAGTGGGTTAAAGCCTCTGCCTTCGGCTCAGGTCATGATCTCAGGGTCCTGGGATCAAGGCCCGCATCGGGCTCTCTGCTCAGCAGGGAGCCTGCTTCCTCCTCTCTCTGCCTGCCTCTCTGCCTACTTGTGATCTCTCTCTCTCTCTGTGTCAAATAAATAAATAAAATCTTAAAAAAAAAAAACTTAGTATGTTTTATTAACTTTGTCCAATAATTTTTTGTAGATTTAGATATAATTTAAAAATATTAAATAAAAAAATTAAACAAGGCAATTTAATTTCCCAAAGAATAAATATAAGCTAGAATCTTTTGAGTATTAATGGGACTTAGCAAGCATTCTAACATGTAAAATCAAAATACTCTTATATTTTAATACAAGTCCCAAAAGCTTTAATCATTTTAACTATCAAATATCTTAGGAAAATAAAGTTTATAAAATCAACTCATATACCTGTCGTTACATATTTAATGTTGAAATGAGGAAAAACTACAAGTATTTTAAAATTATTAACTACAAGTATTTTAAAATTATTTAATTATTTATTTTATTAAATTTATATATAATTTTATTATTTATTATATTAAAATTATTTTAAAATTATTAACTTTAGAAAAGTAGTTTTTGTCACAATCTTTTAACATAGCTGTGTAATCTTACTATATGAATAAGAGAACGAAGAAATGATATAAACTGAGTTCAGTCATTCAGCAGATTATTTATTGAGCACCTCCTCTCTGCCAAGTACTGTTTGAGGCTTTTGGGATATATCAGTTAAAACAAATAAAAAGCAACGTTCCCTGCCCTGTTGGAACTTCCATATTCACAGGAGAGATAGATGATAAGCATAACAAGTAAACCTATGTTTATTACTATGTTAGGAAATGATAAGGGCTATAAAAACATGGGGCATTGGGAAGAGGGGGGTGGGAGGTGTTACTCAAGCTGCAATTTAAATAAGGAGGTCAAGGTAAATCTGCATTGAGAAGGTAACATTTAAGCAAACACTTGAAGGGAGTTTAGTCAAAAGAATAACTAGCTGAAGAACCCTAAAGGAGAGAGTTCAAGGTTAGAATGTGCCTATCAGATTTGAGGAACAACGAAGAGACCAGTGTGCCTGGAGAGTAGTGAGCAAGGGGGAGAGTATTAGGTGAGAGGGTAGACAGGTAACAGGTAATTGGAATCCAGATTCTGTTGGGATTTTAGCTTTTATTCCAGAGTAAGATTGGTGTGCCATTGTACAGTTTTCAATGAAGAGTGGTGTGACTCCGCTTGTGATTTAGAAGAATCAGTTGGGCCATTGTGTTGATAATTGACGACATGGAGGGCAGAAACAGACTGTATAAGAGTCTGTTGCATTAATCCAGGCAAAAGATTGTGGTGATTCAGACTAGAGTGAAAACAATGACAGTACACAAGTGGTTAAATTCAGAGTACATTTTGAAATCAGAGTTCATAGGATTTGCTGACAATTTGGATGTGGGGTGTGTGAGAAAGAGGGAGCTCAAGAATGATGACAAGGTTATTTGCATGAGCAATTGGAAGGGAATGGAGTTGCCACCAACTGAGATGAGGCTCAGGGCTGCATCCAAGTGGAACTGGTTTGAGGAATGGAGGCAGATGACAAGACTGGTTTTGGACATGGTAAATTTAGGATGCCAGATGGGCATTTGGACTGCAGCTATAAAGTTGGAAGTCATTAACACGTAGAGGATAGTAAATTTATCCTCATGAAACTAGACATAAATGATCTGGTAACTGGACATCAACAAGACAGGAAGGTAGCTGAAAACTGACTTTACCTATCACAACTTTGGTACCAGCATTGCTGGTAATAACCCAGTTCTTCTCTTCTAATTTGGGACCAAAAGCAATACTTCTCAGAGTTTTTGGGCTAATATATTCTTTATGAAATAATAGACATTCAATAAATGTTTCTTTTCCTTTCATACATTTCATCACATAAAGGACAAGGCAGCTTGGGGAGCCTGGGTGGCACAGTCAGTTGAGTGTCTGACCCTTGGTTTCAATTTAAGTCATGATCTCCATGTCATGAGATAGAGCCCCAAGATGGGCTCTGTGCTGAGCATAGAGTCTGCCTGAGATTATCTCAGGAGAGATTATCTCTCCTCTCCCTCTGCCCCTCCCACTCATGCTCTCTTTCTCTCAAATAAATAAATCTTTAAAAATAAAGGGCAAGGCAACTTAAATGTAATATCTCTGCATTCAGCCTCTTAACTCTTCAGTAGTGTTGGTTTGGGGGAAATATGAATGAATTACATTCACCAGTCTTATTAGAAAATGTTAAGTAATTGGGCTACTAAAGCATAACACAAGATGTAGGGTGCTGTTTGGCTGAATGTGATAGTTGGGGAGAAAAGTCAAATGATAAAAACAGAATACTAGTCTATATTCTCTTGGACACTGGGAAATAATAGCGCCAATGATACAGAATCTGCCAAACAAGTAAAATATTTAAGAACTTTAAGATTTTTATTTATTTATTTGACAGAGAAAGATCACAAGTAGGCAGAGAGGCAGGCAAAGAGAGAGGAGGAAGCAGGCTCCCTGCTGAGCAGAGAGCCTGATGTGGGGCTCGATCCCAGGACCCTGAGACCATGACCTGAGCCAAAGGCAGAGAGGCTTTAACCCACTGAGCCACCCAGGCGCCCCAAGAATTTTAGATAGTAATGGGCACATTGGACTAACCTGAGCATGCCTTAAAAAATACTGATATCTGGTTCCTACCCCCAGACCTTCTGATTTATTTATCTCGTATGTGGAATCAAATGACAACAACAACAACCTGAACTCATAGATGCAGAGAACAGTTGGTAGTTACTAGAGGTGGGGTGGGGTTGGTGGCATGGGTAAAGGTGGTCAAAAGGTACAAACTTCCAGCTATAAAATAAATTATGGGGGTTTAATGTATTGGATGGTGACTATAGTTAATACTGTATCATATATTTGTAAGTTGCAAAGAGATCTTAAAAGTTCTCATCACAAGAAAAGAAATTGTGTAACTATGTGTGGTGATGGATGTCAACCTAAAAAAAAAAAAAAGGAAAAGAAAAGGTCCTTAAGACAGCAGAGAATAAACAGAATAAATGAGCCCTCTCTAAATCATGCAAATAAATCCCTGGCATAATTTGTTGTTAGATGCATGCCAGCTGTTCGCCTGGTCATTTCTTTGTAGCATAAGTGGACTCAAATTGGAAACAGCTGTGATGTTATGGCAACTGTATTAGCTTGGAGTAAGAAGACTTCGATTCACACCAGTTCTTTTGCTCATTAGCAGATTTAGGATGGCTAATTCCCTTAACCTTCTTGAAACTCCAATTTCTATCTCCATAGAATGAGAATAACCAAATCTGTCTTGCATGGTTACTATAAATATTTTAAAAAGCTAAATATGTGAAAGTAAATGATAAAGAACTATTTAAAGATATTAAAGAATTATTATACAACAGGATTTTTCTTAACTTTAGAAGTCACATGACAGTATAAAATGCAATAATATCCTAGAAATCAACAGATTTTTTTTCTGTATTTTTTTCTACTGCTTTAAAACATGGAACTCTGTATACAGTGGGTAATGAATGCTATTGAACTTATCATGATTTGGAGAGGAAGTGTTATTTTGTATTTATTTCCTATACAGTGTGTTAATATGTGAAAAACACAAACTTTGGATTCAGGCCTGGATTTCAACACAGATATTGTCGCTTATTAGAAAATTGGCATCAGTAGACGTGTTCTAAGACTAAGGTTTCTTTTCTCTCTATATTGGGGATAATAAAATGTAGTTTTCAGGGCAGGGTTACTGTGTGAGGTTCAAGTGTGAAGTGCCAAGCATAGTAGCGGGCACAAAAGTTGTAGGAAATGTTAATTCCATCAATCCCTCTGAAAGTGCAATAATCTAGGGATAGTAATTTAAAAATCTGAGTAGTAATAATTCCTCAATTGCTAAAAATTCTTAAATATTTTACTTGTTTGGCAGATTCTATATCATTTTAACTTTTTTTTTTTTTAAGATTTTATTTATTTCTTTGACAGACAGAGATCACAAGTAGGCAGAGAGGCAGACAGAGAGAGAGAGAGAGAAGCAGGATCCCCGCTGAGCAGAGTTGGATGCAGGACTTGATCCCCAGACCCTGGGATCATGATCTGAGCGGAAGGGAGAGGCTTTAACCCACTGAGCCACCCAGGCGCCCCTCATTTTAACTTTTAAGTGCCCATTTCCTCACCATGAATGCTTTAAAAAGCACTGCTTATTTTTTATGTTTTTTCAGATAACAGAAAAGTTTTAAGTTTATACCATGGATAACACCAAGGAAAAGAGTGGAAATTACAAAGATGATCTTCTGCTTAGAGTGGGACTTAATGATAATAAAGCCGGAATGGAAGGATTAGATAAAGAGAAGATTAACAAAATTATAATGGAAGCCACAAAAGTAAGTTTCTTGTTTATTTTGCTATCACTAACTTAGTAGCTTTTTGCTTTCTGTTTAAAATAAAATCAGTAAGTTTTAAATATCTTTTTTTATACTTTTTTACATTTTAATGTATCTTATTAAAACAAATGGGTATGGAATAATCTCCCTTCTGTTCTGTTACTCGTGCTTTTGCCATCCAGTTTTCTGCCTCACCTATGCACAATATGCATGTAAAAGCACAATAACATACATGTTCTTTTTTCATCCTTTTTCTTAATAGGAGAATATTGTAATTGTGTTTTTTGTTTTTGTTTCAGTTAATGTAACTTGGAGGTCTTTCTATATAAGTAAAAATGTTCATTCTTTTTTATGCCTGTGTGTGTGAATATAACAAAATTTATTGAACCAGTCAGAATGTTTAATTATGAACAGTTAAGTTATTTCTAGTCTTTTGTTTTTACCAACAATACTACAGTGAATAAATTTGCATTTTATAACATTATATGTGTGCAGGTAAAACGATAGGAGAGGTTCTAGAAGTGGAATTACCCTACCAAATACAGATAGCAAAAAAGGATATATATATGTGCAATTTTTATGATTTGGCCAGTTGCCTTCCATAATGGATGTATCAATTCAAATTTTCACTGCCAGTACATGACAGTATATTACCACGGTGCAACTGTGCCAGGATAGTGTGTAACTAAGCTTTTGGATTTGCCAATCTTCAGTAATGTAGTGTAGCATTAATTTGCATTTCTCTTATGAAGAGTGAGATAGTACATCTTTTCATATATTTAAAAAGCCACTTTTCATATATTTCATATATTTAAAAAGCCATTTATATTTTCCTTTTTTGAAAACTGTCTCTTATTGTCCTTTGCACAATTTTCCATTAGATTATTATATATCTTTTGACTTCGCTTATGGTACTTTATCCTGTGCAGAAATTATTTTGTTTGCTTTTTTGTACGTACTTGAATTAGTCAACTACATAAGCTTTTCTCCAAGGGCCTAAATGTTTTCTTCTAACATTTTTTTTGTTTCATTTGTATATTATGAACTATCCATGTAGAAAGGTGTAAAATTTAAGAGAATATCCTTATTCTTAAGAAATGCATGCTGATATCCACAGCAACTCACTTTTAAATGGTTCAGCCAAAAAGAGGAAGAGGAGCATGTATGTGTGTGTGTGTGTGTGTATGTGTGTGCATGTTTGTGCAAGTGCACATATAGGAGTGTGTGTATGCGCTTATACCTAGGAGTAGTGGGAGAAACTAAACGTAGCAGGAATCTAGGTGAGGACATATGGATGTTTAGTCTACTGTTCTTTCAGCTGTTGGAAAATTTGGAAATTCCAAAGTAAAAAGTTGAGGGGAAGATAATATTTTAAGTGTTTAACATAGAGATATATTTTAAAAGTAAAAGAATTGAGATGAAGTAAGCAAACAAAATATATGGACTCTAGATCTTAGTTTGAACAAATTTTTTTTTTTTTTTTTTTAAAGATTTTATTTATTTATTTGACAGAGATCACAAGTAGGCGGAGAGGCAGGCAGAGAGAGAGGAGGAAGCAGGCTCCCCGCTGAGCAGAGAGCCCGATGTGGGGCTCGATCCCAGGACCCTGGGATCATGACCTGAGCCGAAGGCAGAGGCTTTAACCCACTGAGCCACCCAGGCGCCCCTGAACAAATATTTTTGGAACATTTAAGGGAATTTGGATATGAAGAGTGTACTATATAGTATTAAGGAATTATTATCAATTTTATTAGCTGTGAAAATGGTATTATGATTACAAAATGGCCTTATTTTTATTTTTTTTAATTTAAAAAATTTGGCGGGGGAGAGAAAGAGCACAGGCGAACAGTGGGGAGGGGCAGAAAGAAGGGAAAGAGAGAGAATCTCTAAGCTGGCTCCATGCCTGGCTTGGAGCCCAACATGGGGATCAATCTCAGGACTCTGAGATCATGACCTGAGCTGAAATCAATTTAACCAACAGCCACCCAGATGCCCCACAATGACCTTATTTTTAAAGATACATAATAAAATAGGGGCGCCTAGGTGGCTCAGTGGGTTAAGCCTCTGCCTTAGGCTCAGGTCATGATCCCAGGGTCCTGGGATCAAGCCCTACACCATGCTCTCTGCTCAGCAGGGAGTCTGCTTCCCCCTCCCCTGCATGCCTCTCTGCCTACTTGTGATCTCTGTCAAATAAATAAATAAAATATTTTTTTTAAAAGATACATAATAAAATACTGTATAGAATAGTTAAATGTCATTATATCTGTAATTTACTTTAAAACAGTTCAGTTAAAAAATCAATGAAGGAAATTAGGCAAAATATTAGTTGTGAAATCTCAGTGATAGTTTTATATATTTGTTTACTACTCTGTTTGTGTTTGAGGCTTTTGTGAAATTTTGACCATAAAACTTAAAAATAGGAATAAAACCTATGCTGTTAGTTTTCATGTTGAGAAATAGAATATTTGGGACGCCTGGGTGGCTCAGTTGGTTGGACGACTGCCTTCGGCTCAGGTCATGATCCTGGAGTCCCGGGATCGAGTCCCGCATCGGGCTCCCAGCTCCATGGGGAGTCTGCTTCTCTCTCTGACCTTCTTCTCGCTCATGCTCTCTCTCACTGTCTCTCTCTCAAATAAATAAATAAAATCTAAAAAAAAAAAAAAAGAATATTTAAGCGACCCTAGATTTCCCTATCTTTCCTCTCTCTTCTCTGTGTCCCAGTAACACTTATTAAATAGTTCATCCTTTTCTTACTGATCTGCAGTGCTTTCTTCTAGTCTACTGTGTTATTTGTTTTTATATCTTTATGAAATGATCTTAATTACAGTACTTTATAAGAAGTCTTGATAACAGCTAGGTCAAGTTCTTTTTTTGCTCTTTGTTCTTTTTCAAGAGTATCTTAGATATTTTCAAAACTTTGCTCTACCACATAAACCGTGTGGGGGTTAGGATCACTTACCCTTCCCCCCTCCTACACACAGTTGAAAACCCATGTACAACTTTTGACTCGTCAAAATTAACTGCTAATAGCCTACTGTTAACTGGAAGCTTTACCAGTAACATAAACAGTTGGTTAACACAAAATTCGTATATTATATGTATTACATATTATAATAAAGTAAGCTAGAGAAAAGAAAATATTATGAAGAAATCTTAGAAAATACATTTATAGTACTACACTATATTTATTGAAAAAAATCCATGTATAAGTGGACCCGTACGGCTCAAACCCATGATGTTCAAGGTTCAACTGTATATACATATGAATCATAGAACAGTATACACATATCATCTGATTGACATGATATGCCTTACATATATTTATATATTAATATATTGAATTATTTATATTATTAAAATATAGAATTTGTTTAAATTAATAAAAATAAATTACATATTAATATATTAAAGTATATATTTTATGTAATATATTATTTGTCTAATGTGGTGGGATAGGAAGTTCATCATAAATATCTTCTTTAATGGATATTTTCTAATTGTTACTGCTTCACAACAATTCTTTAAAACTTTTTTTAAACATACACAAAATTAGATTGTTAATGTGAATTCCTGGGTAATAATCACCCACCATCAATAGTTAATCAACATTTTTGTAAATATTGCTTTATCTATGTTACCATCCCTACTGAATTTTGGAGGTAGATATTGGAGTATTTTATTTATTTATTTTTTTAAGATTTTATTTATTTATTTGTCAGAGAGAGAGAGAGAGAGTGCACAAGCAGGCAGAGCGGCAGGCAGAGGTGGAGAGAGAAGCAGACTCCCTGCCAAGCAAGGAGCCCCACATAGAACTCAATCCCAGGACCCTGGGATCATGACCTGAGCCGAAGGCAGTGGCTTAACCGACTGAGCCACTCAGTCATCCAGAGATTGGAGTATTTTAAAACAAATCCCAATAAATTAGACAAATTTCAAGAAATTTATAATTTTTCTAAAACTGACTTAAGAAAATATGGAAAATTTAATAGACCTTTAATAAGGAAATAAATTTAGTAATTAAAAATCTTCTCTGTACCTCCCCTAACAAAAAAAAAACTGAGTCACAATGGCTTCAGTGATGAATTTTATCTGACATTTAAAGAAGAAATAATACCAGTATTCCGCAAGCCCTTCCAGAAAATAAAGAAGGATGTAACGCTTACAGACTCATTCTATGAGACCAGTATCACCTTGACACTATACCCAAACAAGCCGAAGATTATAGATCGTTGTAAATATAAAACTCCTCAACAAAATGTTAGCAAACTGAATTCAACAATATAAAAGAAAGATTATATACCATGGCTAAATGGGATGTATTCCGGGAATGCCCTTTTCTCCTAGAATCAGGGACAAGGCAAGTGTACCCACTCTCATGTCTTCTATGCAACATAGTCCTGAAAGTTCTAGCCAGTGTAGGTAGGCAATGAAAAGAAATAAAAGGCATTTAGATTGGAAAGAAAGAACTAAAACTGTCTCTTCACAAATAACATGATGTTATATATAAAAACTCTTAAGGAATTTCAAAAGGAATGCAACAGCTTTACCATGAAAATTACAAAAATTCATTGAGGGCAGATAAGGATTTAAAAAATGGAGAGACACTGGGGCGCTTGGGTGGCTGGCTCAGTTGTTAAGTGTCTGCTTTGGCTCAGGTCATGATCCTAGAGTCCTGGGATCTAGCCCCACATCAGGCTCCTTGCTCAGCGGGAAACCTGCTTCTTCCCCTCCCACCCCCCTGCTTGTGTTACCTACCTCTCTCGCTGTGTCTCTCTCTGTCAAATAAATAAATAAAATCTTAAAAAAAAAAAATGGAGAGACATTACATGTTCAAGAATGAGAAGATTTAATACTGTTAAGAGGATAGTTCTCCCCAAATTGATCTGCAGATTCAATGCAATTCCCCATCCAAATTCCAGGGGCTTTTTTTCTCCCCCTGCAGAAATTGATTAACAGACCCTAAAAATTTATGTGAAAATGGATAAACATGTAAAATAGTCCAAACTGGAGCACCCAAACTGGGTGGCTCAGTTGGTTAGGCCTCTGCCTTTGGTTGGGGTCATGGTTCTAGAGTCCTGGGATCAAGCACTGGGCTCCCTGCTCATTGGGGAGCCTGCTTCTCCCTCTCCATCTGCTGCTCTCCCTCCTTGTGATTTCTCTCTCTCTCTCTCTCCCCCCCCCTCTAGTAAATAAATAAAATCTTTAAAAATAAAATAAAATAAAATAGTTTTGAAAAGGAAAAGCATGGAGGTCTTTGACTTTCCTGTTTTAGAATTTACTATAAAGCTATAGTTATCAAGACAGTGTGGTACTGCTATAAGCTTAGACATATTGAACAATGGTGCAGAATTAAGAGTCCAGAAGTAAATCTTTGTATTGATACTTATTGATTTTTGACAAAAGAACCAAGGCAGAAGGATAGTCTGTTCAGCAAATAAACCTGGGACAACTGGATATCCACATGCAAAAAAGATTAACTGAGACCCTCGGTTCCTATTATACACAAATTGAACTCAAAATTGAGTGAAATGTAAGGGCTCACATGGTAAAAACTTCTAGAAGATAGGAGAAAATCTTTGAGACATTTGGTTAGACAAATGTTTTTTGTCTAGACAAGCATTTCTTAGGTACAACACCAGAAGTGCTGTCAATAAAAGAAAAAGTTGACAAGTTAGACCTCATCAAATTTCAGAACTTTTGCACTTCAAAGACACAATTAAAAAAGAAAATGATAAGCAACATACTAGTATAAAGTATTTGTAAAATATTTATCTGATAAAGGATTTACATCCAGAATATACAGAGAATTCTTACAAATTGTTAATAAGACAACCTAACAAACAATGGGAAAAAGATATAAATAGACATTTCACTAAAGAGATAAGAATGGCTCCTAAGCACATGAAAAGATGTTCAGCATCATAGTCATCCGGGAAATGCAAATTAAAACCACATTGAGGTGCCATTCACACTATTGTAGTCTAGAATGGCTATGAGACAGACAATAACAAATGTTGATAAGGATATGGAAAAACTGGAACCTTCATACATTGCTGATGGGATTGTAAAACGGTTCAGCCACTTTGGAAAAGAGTTCTGGCAGTTCCTCAAAAGGTTTAGCATGCAGAGATTCCACTCCTGGGTACCTATGGAAAGTGAAAACATGTCCATGCAAAAATGTGTATATGAATCTTCATTGCGGCATTTTTCATTAAAGCCATAATGTAAAAATAATCTGAATTTCCATCAGCCTGATGAGTGGATAAAATTAGATGTTATGTTTAGTGATGGGATGATAGGTAATTTTCTAAGAGTGATTGTCTACATTTTCTTTAATGGATAACGTTAAAATTTTTTAAATCCTTTATTTTTTAAAATTTTTATGATTATTTTTAGAAAAGGTGGGGCTAGGGGAGAGAATTTTAGCAGGCTTCATGCCCAGTGCAGAACCCAACACAGGGCTCGATTTCACAACCCTGAAAGTATGACCTGAGCAGAAATCAAGCGTCGAATGCTTAACCGACTAAGCCATGCAGGCGCCCTTAAGTACTTTTTAAGTAAAAGTGAAGGAGATAGCTGATGACCCAAATGACTAAGGCCTTGGATATGCCCTATGGATCCTGTCTAGGACACATTGTTATTTTTGGAGTAACATATCCATACTCATCTCGAAGAGTTTGTACTTATAAATACTGCTTCAACAATTCTAGGTAACTATAAATTCATTTTGCAGGCAAGGAAATTGAGACATAGAAAGATTAAGTAGTTTTAGGATTCCTGGGAAGTTCCTAGTTAGTAGTTCCTAGTAAGTAGTGGTACTAAGTTTTGAATTCAGTTATTCTGATTCTAGTCTGTACGGCAGTGATGCTTTCTGTCTGACTCTTTTCTTATGCTTTGTTTTTTTTTTCTTACATAGGGGTCCAGATTTTATGGAAATGAGCTCAAGAAAGAAAAGCAAGTCAACCAACGAATTGAAAATATGATGCAACAAAAAGCTCAAATTACCAGCCAACAGCTAAGGAAAGCACAATTACAGGTATTAATTTAATTGTTAAATAAAGTGGAAGCTGGTAGAACAGTAATTGATAGTTAAAATGCATCATGGTCAAGTCATAACTGACAACAAGGTAATATGTAAATGTTCATTGTATTGTAAGGGATAAAATTTAACAGAGGCTTATACTTTTTTAAATATTGCTCTACTCTTTTATATCAAGACCCCATACCAAGGCATTCTCACCTCCATTATACAGAAGAGTAAATGGAGCCTTAGGGTAAATAACTTGCCTAGCTTCAGAGCTAGGATTTAATCCAAAACTTATGGTTATTTTTTATTATATACATATTTTGTAGCTAGAAAAAGGCCACAGGATAAATGTGGCATGTTTTCTTCAATGCTGATTTTACAAAAATGATCTGGAAGAACATGTCAACTAATTAAATTAGAAATTTAAAACATAATTGTGTTGTACTGAAACTAGAGTGGAATGCCAAATGTACATGAATTTTTAAGATAAAACACCAGACTTCTAAAAATTTGGAGGCTTTTGGCTTTTCCACCATCTCTGGGAAATAAATACTCAAGAGTTTCCTCTGGTATTTAAAACTATTTTGGGAAGAAGGTTTGCATAGGGCAAAGCTGTAGGGCATTGTGTAGTAGATGGCGAACTCAAAGTAGTCAAGCTTCTGCTAGTGAAACTAAAGTTTACTTTTATTTTTTATTTTTTAAAAATTTTTAATAAAGTTTACTTTTATTTTATTATTTTCCATTATGTGTTGCGTATTTCCAATCATGAATAACAATAAACCTAGTTATACAGATATTACTCTTTCAATAAGCTTTCTTTCTAATTGTATCTGTCATGTAATATTACATGGTATAAAGTGTACTTTTTTTTTTTAAAGATTTTATTTATTTATTTGACAGAGAGAGATCACAAGTAGACAGAGAGGCAGGCAGAGAGAGAGAGGGAAGCAGGCTCCCTGCTGAGCAGAGAGCCTGATGTGGGGCTCGATCCCATGACCCTGAGAACATGACCTGAGCTGAAGGCAGCGGCTTAACCCACTGAGCCACCCAGGCGCCCCTAAAGTGTACTTTTAAAGACAGTTTTTAGGGGTGCCTGGGTGGCTCAGTGTGTTAAAGCCTCTGCCTTTCGCTCAGGGGGATCGAGCCCCACATCCAGCCCCACATCAAGCCCCACATCGAGCCCCGCATTGGGCTCTCTGCTCAACAGGCAGCCTGCTTCTCCCTCTCTCTCTCTGCCTGCCTCTCTGCCTGCTTGTGATCTCTGTCAAATAGATAAATAAAATATTTTTTAAAAAAGACAGTTTTTGCTCTCTATCAAAATTTGATTCAATTTAACAAAGCACTTTAGACCATTAATAATGATAAAATTATGTTAATATTCTATCCTATGTTAATATTTTGCAGCAATTCTTCTCATGATAGAGTTCAGAAATCATAAATTTTATGTCTTTTTTATTAAACTATGTGTGATTTTTTTCATATATACTCTCCTAGAGTGCAAGCTAATTTTTTTATCTTATGTGTTAAGTGGTTTGCTATCATGACAAAAGATCACTTGCCTCAGTCTTTCAAATCATCATTTAGTGCATCATTTTAAAGCTCTCTTTGTGCTTTAGTCATTTTTAGTGTTCTACTATATGGAGGTACCAGAATTTATTTACCTTATCCTACCAGGGTTTCAGTTTTTTGTTTTATATATAACCTTGTGATAATCATTTTTATCTATATATGTTTGCACTCTTGTCCTGTTATTTTCGCCAAAGATGGTACAGTTTTACATTTTTGACATACTTGTTTTTAAAACTAGATTTTATTGATTTTATCAGTCTCTTAGTTTTTTCTTGTAGTGTCCAAATATTATTCCATGATTATTTTAATGTGTCCTTCTTAGATAATAAAAGAGAAAGCATGTGTTCTCATATTAGCCATTAATATTTCATTCTTATTGGAATTGCCTTTTTATTCTATTAATATATAGGCTAAGTTGCTGGCACAAGAGACTCCAAAATACAACGGTTCAAATCAGATAAGAGTTTATTTCTTTCTCATGTAATAGTAAATAGTCCCAACTGATTGGGTGGTTCTGCTCACCATAGTAATTTTGGGACCCTGGTTCTATATTGGGTTGTACTAACCCTAAGTGTTATTTATTCTTAACCTGGATTGACAGAATGGGATTATCTCTAGTCTATATTTCAGCCCCCAGTAAGGAAGAAAGAGTGAGGGGGAAAAAAAATGAAAGGCGAGTAATTTGCTATTCAACAAGTGAAAGAGAAGTTGCACATATTACGTCAGCTCACATTCTTTTGACAAGAATTTAAGTTTCATGGCCACACCTAACTGCAGGAGAAGCTGTACAGAATATTTTCCAGCTGGGTGGCCATATGCCCAGATATAAATCTATTACTATGAAAGCAAGAGAGAATGGATTTGGGGGTTCAACGAGCGGTCCAAAATAGTATCCTCTGCCTGCATTTCTAGAGGAGTTTATGTATTTTTCTCTTGATTAATACATCTTATAAATTAAAGATTTTTTCCTCTGCCATTTGCTGTAAATATTTCCCCAATATGTTGTTTGCCTTTTAACCATGCAGAGGTTTTTTTTCCCTATACAGTTTTAAATGTTTATGTAATCAAAACAGCAGTATTGAAAAACTTTTTTTTTCTTGGCTTTTTTATTGAAAGCATAGAAAATTATTCCTTACAAGCAAGCCTATAGGTTCTTTTAGTATTTTTATAGATTTTGCTTGTTTTTAGTCCATTTTGAGTTTGTTTTTGGTTTTGTTTTAGAGGTAAAGAGAGGGAGAGGGGAGGGGTGAAGGATAGAGGGGGAGAGAGAGAGAGAGAGAGAATCTTAAGCAGGCTCTCTGCCTAGCATAGAGACTGAGACATGGGGCTCGATCTCATGCCCCTGAGATCATGACCTGAGCCGAAATCAAGAGTCGGAGGCTTAACTGACGGAGCCACCCAAGCCCACCTAGAATTTGTTTTAATGTAAGGTGTTAAGTACTTTTTTTCTTAAATGGTGAATATTACATTTTCCCTAATAGTATCATTTTTTTCTAAATGGTGATTCATTTGTCCCAACAGAATTTATTGAATCTTGAGTCCTTTCTCCACTGAATTAAAATGAGGCACTCCCATATACGAAATTCTCATTGTATTTGGACTTGTTTCTGGATTCTCTTTCTTACTCAATTGAATCTTTTCCTATATCAGTACCATGCAATTTTAGTTATTCAATGATAATAATATACTTTAATATTCTCCTTCGCTACCATTCTTTAAAAATTTTTTTCTCATATGTTGTTTCTTTTGAATAAATTTGAGCATCATTTCAACAAGGTAATATTCCATCTGTCTATAATATTGTTCTTAAATTGATATTAATTCTTGGCAATTTATTTTTAGAACTTCTTTTTGGTAAGTTTTATTGATCTATACAAATATCTGTAATAAAGTTTTAAAGATAAAATGCATATGAATGATGCAATGAAATAACTTTGCTATTGACTCTTTTTAAAGCTCATATCCTTAAATATACTAATAATTTGAAGGATTAGAAAATACCTTATACTGTATAACAGATCTTCACATTTTGTTACAATTTTAGTTGACTATTTCTGGGGAGACTCTCTGACATCTTTTGCAAAGGGAGTGGCAGGAAATATGTTCTATGTTGATTGTTAAATTGTTTCATTTGTTGAACTTCCTTTAAAAGAAATTGTATAAATGGGAGAGGATTAAGGAAATCCTAAGGAATCAAAAAGATCTGAGAGAAAGAGAAGTTTTCATGGGAAATGCATTCTATTCTAGAGTCATACAATTTCCATATAATAGATTTTATTATGTGTGCTGCGATGGTAGGAACTATTATTGCTAGTCAAGATGTGGTAACTAACCTCTGTTGGCATGAACTCCCACAGTTTATTCAGAACCTACTCTCCTCTCCGCCCTACCCTCATTAGACTTGCTAAAGATGCAATCATTTTTATAGCTGCCAAAACATCTTGTTATAACATGGGTTCATAAATTGAATAGACAACCATCCATGTTGTATTAAATGGCAACTACGCAGCAAATCAGTGCATTTTGACCACTTTAACAATTGGTTTTATGAACTCAGTTTTCCTGAACAATTTTTAGGGTAATTATAAGTTAAGAAAGTGAAAAACAATATTTCTGAAATAATCTCCTGAATATAATAAAAAAGGGGATTTTAATAAAGTAAATAAAACATAATGTTGATATAAAACACACTATTGGAACTTGAGTGTTAAAGACTTTTTAAGATCCATTTTAGGGAAGCATCATAAAATAATGGAAAGAGCACAGCCTTTGGAGTAACTTGCTTTACAGGTCTACTGCTAAGATTTTCCAGCTGTGTGGCTTAAGACAGATTACTGCATCTTACTGAGGTTTAGTTTTCTCCTCTCTAAAATGAGAATAATAATTAGCAACTCAGAATTATTTTGACCCCTAAATGAGTTAACATAGGATGTTAACATAAGAAGTACTTAACATGTTGTATAACACATATGATATACTCAATAAATATCACTTCTATTTCTGAAATTATAGGTTATATAATTAAGCCCTTTCCATATCCCTGGGTAACTACATTACATGAGTACGCCTTTTAATTCTTTAACCTTTGGGGGTTGGTTTCATCCAAATTTAGAAACAAAGTAAGAATGAGGGTTAACTTGCCCATTATCATGTAGCTAATACGTGGCAGAGCTGAAACCCACAAGAAGCTCTTATTCTTAACCATGGTTCTGAACTGTGGCAAAAGGGATAACATACATGTTAGAGGCTCAGATCAGAACTTGGAAGTCATCTGGAAGGGAAAATGGAAGAAAGGAAAACATTAATGAAGATTTCAGTAGAAGAAATTTGAAAAAAGCAGCGTGGTGTGCATTTGGTAGATGCAGAGGAAAAAGTGTTTAGACAAGGGTGACTAATGAGAGTAGGGGAAAATGGAATGTGTGAGTCACTCAGTGGGGAGGTTTCCTTTTGGCAACTGTACTTGCACTTTAAGCACAGAAAAGATAATAGATTGCTGAAGAAACTGTCACAGGATTATTGTATGGGCTAAGGAGAACTTTTTTCCATTTGGTTTGCTTTCTATTTATTATCTTTTTCCTTTCCAGTATTTATGAGTTAAGATACTTCAAATGCTGCTCCCTTATTCTCAATTGACTTATATTTTAGGTATATTTTCTGGATTAACATATAGTAGTTTTTAATCCACCCTTGTTTTCATTAGTCTCCATGATTTGTTTACATCTTTTGTTTTTTTTTTTAATGT